CGCATCACCCTCCCTACCCCGGATCCAACGCCACCTCCAACGCTTACCTCCCCTCTGATGTGGACATCGGGTCAGTTGGAGGCGCAGTCAAAAGATTGCAGCGGTCCCAGATCAGATGTACACACTGGAACACTTTCCCATGTTGCTGTCTGTGTTGTGCTATGGTGTGTTGATATCTGTGCATTCCTGTATTATCCTTCTGTGTTACACATTTCAATGTTTTTTTTTCCTCGCTACCTGGCCTGACCTGTCTCCCTAATGTGATGTTTGTATTGTATGTACGGTCGGCAAGGTCTGTCATCTCGGTTGTGGGCAAAAGACCTGCAACTGACAAATAAAGGCTATCTCATCATCATCATCTCATGATCTACATCATCATCATGCACAGAGAAGAAACAGTAAAAAGCATAATTACGGCAAATAAGTAAGGCCTCATTTACATGAACTCTTACCCTTTTTGAGTAGAAATACATGAACTCAATTATTCTGATCATAGTTAAGTGTTGATAGATCATCAAAATGAATTCAAAATGAATGCGGAGGTTTGATTGCCACAGTGTGTGTGCAATGAAGGCCATCTACAGAGAAGAAACAGTTTAAGCATAATTATGCCAAATCATTACGACCTAATTAACATGAACTCTTACCCTTTTTTTTTTGAGTCAAAATAGATAAAATCATTTATTCTGATTATAGTTAAGTGTTGATAGATCATCAAGTTGAGATAGGATGCTGTTTTTAAACATCTACATTTTTTTGAGCACAACATGAATGCAGAGGTATATCTCTTTAATGTGACGATTTTCTTCTTGTTTTCCAGAACAAAATGAGCTTGAAAAGTTGGTTTGGATTCTCAGTCAGCCCAGGTAACCTGACACAAGTATATTCAAATGTAAAGCTCAGTACTTGTTTGTATGTGTATAAAAAATACTTCAGAAAACTCTGCTTTTCTTCACTTATTATTTTTTTACTGGAAGTTAGAAGATTAATATGTAACATTTTTGCTTTTTACATTGGAGATTATTATTATTATTAATATTAATATAGTTATTTTATTTTCATGATTTTCTTTAATTTTTCACTTCAGAGAATTTGACTCCTACTCCGGTGCTTATCTGCATCTGTATTACTGTTGTCTCGGTGCCCATTCTTCTTGTTGTCATTGTCACATACAAGTGTAAACAAAAGAAAAACAGTAAGTTACAAATTCATTTTTCAGTCTGACACAAGTTTAATGAGCTATATAAATAACTTGTTTCATTTTAACTGTATTTTAACAGATGTTGGATAAAGCGCAAGATCACCCAGATTAATTAAGACTTTATAATAATCAAACTAAACACTAATCTACAACTTAGGTATTGTGTTTCTGACAGGAGGGAGCAAAAATGAAAATAGGACAGCTGAGAGGAATTCAACTGAAGCTTTGAACTCAGGAGAAACAGAAAATGAAACCAAGCATGTAAGTAAACAATGGACATTAATTTTATCTACCTCAGATGAAGAAAGAAACAAAGAGAATTGTGTGTCAGAGGGAAGTCTAACCTGAACAACAAGGTTCAGTCAGAGATGAATCAGAAGAGAGAAACGAACAGGCTGCACTAAAAACAAATTACAGATGGTGTAAAAATGAATGACTGTCATGGCTGTGAGTAAAGGCATGATAGAAGGACAAACTTAGACAAATGAAGAAATAGATACCACAATAAAATTACCAACCAGTGAGACTCCATTGTAAAGCAAACATAAGTTTTTAGAGGTGTTGATTTGTTGACTTTTGACAGCTTGTTTCAGTCTTTATAGTTAGTGAAATTATGCCCCTGTGCATTTGTTACCTACAACTCTTAATTCCATTTGTTTTCACCTATGATGCAGAAAAGATTGGCTGAGCCAAACTGCCCACAGACATGTTAAATGGTGTGCTTCACTTCTTTAACTTTTTTATTTTACATTTCTCTCCCAGTCCAAAGTCAGAAAAGCTCAGAGTCAGAAGGATGAAGGACACGAGAAGCAGGAGGTTGAGAAAGAAATGAAGAAGAAGGTGAAGGCAGAGACTCTGAAGGCAAATGAGATCGAGGGGAATGAGGTACATTGAGTTTCTAATTATTTATCCTCTTCACAAGGCATCGTTATTTATTCCAGTAATGTTCATATTTGGTGTCAGTTTACAGTAACTCCCAGTGAAAACTTAAATATGATTTACACCAACAGAAGCGGAAGAGAAAT